TCAGTCTCGGCACTAACGATTACAACACTTAGAACGATCGCACCGTCATTGAACAAATAAAGAGGTCTCGACGAACCAATGCCTCTAGTTAAATCGGGACATATGAATCGAAGGGACCGTACTGTACGTTAACTATATCTGAAGGTTCTTGCAGGCACTTCATTTGTATCTAGGGAATCATGACGCGTAGTTGCTAGACGCCAATCTTGATTTGTTGGGTGATTAAGGTGAAACGAGCTTCATTTTAATCGTAACTCTAAGGGACGAGTTTTGACCACAAAGGGTTGTGGGCCCACGGCAAGCTTACACCTGAACCATCAAGGGTCACACTGCTCGTGCACATGAGATCTTTGAATAAACGGTCAGAGATAAAATGGTTTATCTTTGCATGATTGGAAGTCAATATGATTGGGTCCAACATTCATAATTTTGAATTATGAATGAGAATAAGAAAAGGAAAAGAATATGCAAACATATTAGTGGACTTTCTAAATTGGGAAGTTTCCAAATATAGAAAGTGCACTGAATTATGGTTTCCACTTTTGGAAAGTTGGAAATCGAGAGTTGGCACTCGTAATGACGAGGACATTATAATGATTCCGAAAATGTAATTGTTACAATTTTCCGATCATCGAATTGAGAGAGACGAGCAAGTAAAAGAACTAACGAACTTAAGCTATTGGGCCCGGTCCAACTTAAGCCCGTTAGGGTTTTATGCAAGACACTATAAATACTTGATTTATAGGTCTTACACAAACAACAAGATACAACCCTCACCCTAGCCGCTCCCCTCTCTCTCTCTCGGCCACTCTCCCGCGGCCATCACCGGCGCCGTCGCCGGAACTCTGCCGGAATCGGCCATCTCTTGGCTGATTAACATAGGTAGTTCTTTCCTTCATTTTATTCTTCTGTTCTTCTAACTATTACGTGTCTAGTGCAACATGTTTAGTAGATCGAAGTATACGAGGTGAAATCCGAGAGGAGGAAGATCGAAGATCGAAGAATCGAGGAGCAGCACACGAGCCGAAGCCGCACGCATTCCCACGCGCCGCCCGAAGACAGCGCATGAGCCACACGCGCCGCCGTGGCTCGTCATGCCGCTGCTGCCCCGGATTGTACGGATTGGTTTCCGTAGCAATCTCGCTTTGCTTGGTGCGCCTACCTCACGCTTCAAGAGGTAAACTTTCGAATCAATTGTCGATAGATTCGGTTACGTCTAACTTGACTATGTATGTTCGTTATCGTATGATTTTATGTGACTACCTGAAATCGTTTATTTGTTGCGAGCATGATTATTTGATTTAAACGCGAGCATGCTAATTGATTTAATTTAGATTAAATAATTAAGCATGTATGTTGTTTTTAATTTCGCTAGAAGCGCAAAGGTACGCAATTAATTGATTTCAATTATCGGGCATGTGTTTATGTGTTTTAAATTTGTTTAAATCGCATAAAATTTTTGTTTTCCGTTGCGTACACGTGTCCGATTCCCAACAATTGAAGGGCTAACAAAGCACATTCAAGAATAAGACTCCCAAATCGCGATGTTGCGGAACAAGGTTGACGGGAGTCACGACATGGGAAAACAAGGCGAAAATCACACCGAAGTTGAAACTTCAGCAAGGCTACATCCAATCGAAAGGGAGAAGAGCCCGGCTGAAGAATTCCAGATTTCGTTAGAGGGGTTGATTCTTATAGACCAATTGAAGGAGTTCATTATGGGAACTATCAAAGACAAATTCGATGAGGGTTCAAAATCGTCGTCAACATACACCAAGCCATACACTATAAGAGTAGACGACTTGAAGATGCCAATTGGTTACCAACCCCCGAAATTTCAGCAATTTGATGACAATGGCAACCCAAAATAACATGTGACACATTTTGTTGAAACTTGTAACAATGGCGGGACTTTCATAGACTATCTTGTTAAACAATTCGTCCGATCATTGAAGGGGAATGCTTTCGATTAGTATACGGACCTAGAACCGAACTCAATTGACAATTGGAGTTAGATGGAACAAGAATTTTTGAATCGCTTCTACAGCACCCGAAGAACAGTGAGCATGATCGAGCTTAGGAACTCTCGCCAGTGGAAAGAAGAGGCCGTCATTGACAAGGAGCATGATCGAGCTCAGCAACACAATAATCGAAAAGGAGATCGCTGCTAATGAAACGACTCTGTCTCCAAATGAAGCTTGTACGGTGATTGGTAAATGCATGTCAACAATGACTTTTGCTGATGAAGATTTACTTCTTGGTTCCAAACCACATAATAGGCCATTGTTTGTTGCCGGCTACGCTCGTGAGCAGAAGGTGAATAGAATTTTAATTGATGGAGGTTCTGCAGTCAATATTCTGCCATTGCACACTTTAAAGGAATTAGGGATCTCCACGGATGATCTCAAAACTAGTCGCTTGATGATCCAAGGATTTAATCAAGAAGGAGAAATGGCCCTTGGTATCATAAGGATAGAGTTGTTAATGGATGATATGTTTTCCAGCGCGCTGTTTCATGTCATTGATGCAAAAACCTCATATCGCATGCTTCTCGGGCGACCTTGGATACATAAGAATAGTGTGGTTCCTTCTTCTTGGCACCAATGCTTCAAGTATTGTTGAGACGGAGTAGTTAAAATAATACTCGCCGGTGATAAACCGTTCACCGAGGTAGAAGCCCACTTTGCCGATGCTAAGTACTATCTTGATGATGAGAAGACAGTAAAGGCCAAAGAAATTCTACCAGTCGAAGAACCAAAGTGAAGAAATAATCAAGACAAAGATCCTTTAGCGTTTGAGGCTTTGAAAGATTTAATGTTCCCCTAACACCAATTGATGAGAAGCGATCAACTTCTCAACCACCTAAAAGATTTGTTCGTCCCACGGAAGGAACCCAAGAGGAATGCGAAGAATTCTCCGAGTCCCAAATGACAAAATGTTTTGGCCCAAAAGCTTATAAACTCTTAGCGAAAGCCGATTACAACCCATGTGAAGATTCTACACTTGGAAGGCTTCTTGCCGAAGTTGTTGGCGAAAAGATGCATGTTGAAAGAAAAGGGACATGCTATTCAAAGTCCTCGAGTTGGTCTTGGATTTGTTCCACAAAAGCCAATTCGTATTGCTATCAATAGACCTACCATTAATTACATAATCGAAGATGAATTCTCATCAACAAACGATTTCTTGAAAGTGGAACAAAAGTGAGAAGGACATCCGTCTTTGATAGGCTTACACCATCTGTCTTCGATAAACTTGCGCCATCCGTCTTTGATAGACTTGGACCACTTAGAAAGTGAGGGCATGAAAAGGACGACAAACGAGGGTTTGATAGACTTACGCCATCCGTCTTTGATAGGCTTGGACCACTTAGAAAGTGGGGGCGTAACAGAATAAACAAACAAGATTTGGGTGTCTCTGATACTAAAATCACCAAAACACGAAGGATTCGAAGTTCGGTTCCATCTCGCATGAAACGGCGTACTTATTTGACCATATCATGTGGTGAAGAGTTGAAAGCTAAAATGCGAACTGTCGTCTTTACAAAAATCCAAGACGATGAGGAAGATGACAAAGAAAGTGTGGCATCATCGTATCATATCACTTTAAGTGAAATATACGTGATTGAGGAAGAAGACGCCGAAACTGCTCCACCCGAGTTGGAAGAAGGAGTCAAAGCCACGATCGATGAGTTAAAAGAAATTAATTTAGGAGATACGGAGAATCCTCGACCAATCTACATTAGCGCCTTATTAGATGTCAGCGAATAGGAGACTTGTATTGAATTGTTGCACGAGTTTAAGGATGTATTTGCATGGCCTTATAAAGAAATGCCCGGACTGGACCCAAAAGTGGCAATACATCATCTCTCCGTGAAGAAAGGAGCTCACCCTGTGAAGCAAGGCCAACGTAGATTTAGACCTGAATTAGTCCCATCAATTGAGGCCGAAGTAAACAAACATATTGAGGTTGGTTTCATTCAAGAAGTGAAGTACCCAACATGGATTTCAAGTATTGTCCTTGTCAGAAAGAAGAATGGACAAATTCGTGTGTGTGTTGACTTTAGAGATTTGAACGAAGCATGCCCTAAGGACGACTTTCCAATGCCAATAGCCGAACTAATGATTGATGCTACTATAGGCCACGAAGCATTATCATTTATGGATGGGTCGTCCGGATACAATCAAATACGAATGGCACCGAGAGACGAAGAATTAACAGCCTTTCGCATTCCTGAGGGAATCTATTGCTATAAAGTGATGTCGTTTGGCTTGAAAATATGCCGGTGCTACATACCAAAGAGCCATGCAGAAGATATTTGATGACATGCTCCATTAAAATGTTTAATGTTATGTGGATGACTTGGTGGTTAAATCCAAAAGAAGGGAAGATCATCTCCAAAATTTGAGAAAAGTCTTCGAGCGCTTGAGAAGGTACCAATTGAAGATGAATCCGTTGAAATGTGCATTTGGTGTTACTTCGGGGAAGTTTCTTGGATTCGTAGTTCGTCACAGAGGCATAGAAATCGAACAAGCCAAGATTAATGCAATTCTAAAGATTCGCGAGCCTAGAAACATTCATGAACTCAAAAGTTTGCAAGGAAAGTTGGCATACCTAAGAAGGTTCATTTCAAACTTAGCCGGTCGATGTCAACCATTCAGCCGACTCATGAAGAAAGATGTTCCCTTTGAATGGGATTAAGCTTGCACTAGTGCCTTTGAAAGCATAAAATCGTATTTAACGAAGCCTCCCGTGTTGATTGCATCAGTGCCCGGACGATCGTTAATACTCTATATTGCTGCTCAAGAACGATCTGTCGGAGCTTTACTAGCACAAAAGAATGATAATGGAAAAGAGAGCGCCTTATACTACTTGAGTTTCAATGACACCAAATGAATTGAACTATTCGCCAATCGAAAAGACATGCTTATCGCTCATTTTTGCAATTCAAAAGTTGAAGCATTATTTCAAGCGCATGTTGTCCGTCTAATCTCAAGGATGAATCCTCTAAAGTATGTCATGTCAAAACTCGTCCTATCGGACAGACTCGCAAGGTGGTACCTGAAATTGCAGCAATTTGACATAACATATATTCCACAAAAGGCTGTGAAAGGACAAGTTCTAGCTGATTTCTTGGCGGATCACCCTATTCCTGCAGAGTGGGAGTTATCCGACGACCTACCCGATGAAGGTGTTCTTGTGATTGAAGTTAGTCCTCCTTGGAAGATGTACTTTGATGGAGCTTCTCACAGTGAAGGAGCGGGCGCCGGAGTAGTATTCGTCACATCCAACGGCGAAGTGTTGCCTCACTCGTTTACATTAACACGAAATTGCTCTATCAATGTTGCTGAATATCAAGCTCTTATCATTGGACTAGAAATGGCAGTTGATATAAAACAACTAAATTTGGAGGTATATGGAGACTCCAAGTTGGTGATCAATCAAATACTCGGATCATACGAAGTAAAGAAGCTCGATTTACTCCTTTATGTGGATTATGCTAAAAGACTTATCGGATACCTTGGTGATGTGACGATAGAACATGTGGCGAGAAAGGATAACAAACAAGCGGATGCATTGGCAAAACTTGCTTCTACTTTAGCCATGCCCGAAGACGGAGCTCGTATATCAATTTTTAAGAGGTGGGTCGTACCACAAATCTTTGAACATGAAGAAATTGAAGAAGACGAAACTCGAGTGGTTTACGTGTTTGAAATCGAGAAAGAAGATTGGCGTCAATCATTTGTGGATTACTTGAAGTACGAGAAGTTGCCTAATGATCCACGTCAAAGAGTTGATATTCGACGCCGAACGGCTCGTTTCATCTACTACAAAGATACACTTTACAGACGTTCATTTGATGGAGTCTTCTTGAGATGTTTAGGTGATGACGAAGCAGTTCAAGCCATAGAAGAAGCTCATTCCGGAATTTGCGGCGCCCATCAGTCAGGACCCAAATTACATTTCCGAGTAAAAAAAATGGGTTATTATTGGCCATCTATGATAAAGGATTGCATGGAGTATGCCCAAAAATGTCAACCTTATCGATTTCATGCAAACTTTATTCATCAACCGCCGGAGCCATTACACCCTACTGTTGCCTCATGGCCCTTTGATGCTTGGGGTTTGGATGTGGTTGGACCTATGACAAAGTCTTCCGCTGTACATCTCTATATCTTAGCAGCAACAGACTATTTTTCCAAATGGGCTGAAGCAGTGCCTCTTCGAGAAGTAAAGAAGGAGAACGTTGTCGATTTCATCCGCATCACCATCATCTACCGTTACGGAGTTCCTCGATATGTGATCACAGACAACGGAAAGCCATTCTGCAACGGTGTGATAGATAAACTTTGTGAAAAGTTTGGCTTCAAGCAAAGAAAGTCTTCAATGTACAACGCTGCCGCCAATGGACTCGCCGAGGCCTTCAACAAGACTTTATGTAATTTGTTGAAGAAAGTGATTGCCAAGTCAAAACGCGATTGGCACGAAAGGATGGGGGAAGCTTTATGGGCCTATAGAACAACTTATAGAACAACTACTCACGCCACTTCTTATGCGTTGGTGTACGGAGTAGAAGCGGTCTTGCCTCTTGAAAAAAAAATTCCGTCATTAAGGATTCCTGTACAGGAAGAACTCACTCAAGAAGAAATTGCCCGTTTGCATCTTGCAGAATTGGAAGCTCTTGACGAGAAAATATTAGAGGCACAACAAAGTATTGAATGCTACCAAGATCGTCTTTCTAGGGCGTTTGACAAGAAGGTGCGGCCGAGATCGTTTCAAGTTGGAGATTTGGTACTTGGCGATGGAGGCCCATCATCGTCACTCACAAAACAGAAAATAATATGAAGATCTTGTGGTTTTGAAGATTGCGGGTCCCTCTTTGGCCTTTTCCAATGACGCTCTATGTGGCTATTGTCACTCTCATCCGATGGAGGCAAAACGTTCTTCTTCTTTATATCTCTAGGAGGGTTTTTGGTTTGGAGCACATTTTCGCGAGAAAGATTGTCGAGACTACCTCTTGCCTCATCTTCTTTGTCTTCAAGTGGAATTTTACTTAACTCCAAGTTCATCAGACTCGCAGCTTTATTTTCAAGATAAGTTTCGTAAGCCTTATTCCACCATCTCTTATAGTCGTTCTCATGAAACTTTCTCGTATTTTGAGGAACGATGGAAAACATCACTTTAGACATGGACTCGAGCAAAACACATAGACGCCAATAACAGAGTCCGTCTATTAAAGAAGCCTCGCGAACGTCTTCATCAAGTACTCCGGGCACATCTTGGTAATACCCAAATTGACGACTAAATCGATGTGGACTATAGGGCTCAATAACGAAACGGTTACCACGCCGCAAGTCGAGATAGCTCGAGCGAATGGCGATGAAATAATTTCTCTCGGACCCTTTTGTTGTTCCTGTTGGAGTAGGTGACCAACAAGCCAACTTGTGGCTGTGGTCTTTCCTTTTATCTTGTAATAAAACAATCGTTTTTCGTTCGTAATAATAAAATATCTTATTTGGCATTCTATATCTGTTATCCCATGCAAGCAGCATAGATATAGTCCTAACGAGTTACTCTATTACTGTGAGTTGATCTAGTAGAATCGTGAGATAACTCAGCAATGTAATGTAACTGTTAAACCATGTTCCTAGTCGATGGGTTACGCCAATAATGAGGATACCG